CTGGCCAGCAACTTGACCCACTCCAACCTTGTTCGCTTTTCTCCTTATGGCTTCCAACTGTACTTCCTTCATCTCTATGCTGGGTCCCCTGTCTATCACATGGCAGACACCAGCTCCTCCTGGTCACCTGTCACCTCCAGGAAGAGCATGTGAGCCTGCAGAGAATGATAAGCACTATTCCTTCCCAACTCTGGGCAAGGGTCCTGCTCCCGCTTCTCCACTCTTCAGGAAGAAAACGCAAAATGATTACGACATGGGCTAAGCCCCCTGTCTGATCTGGCCTAGCTAGCCTTTTCCTATCTCGTTCCCTATTGGGTTTATTTTCTTTTGAAGGCACTTGCCTGCTCTGCCTCTCACGTTTCTGGCTCGCCACCTCTCACTGCAGCAATTATGACAACTGATGTCAACATGCTCCTTTCTACTGGTTTTCCTTTTTGACCTTTTCCCCAATTTTCAGAATCTCTTCTCACAGATCTCTGAACCCACTGTCAATAATACATACAATTAAGCAGGTTGTGCACATGTGTGCACCTGTACAAAAAGATTTAGCCCTGGGCAGCTAACTGAAATATACTTATTTCAGAATACCAGAACAGGTGAGTAGGCTTTATATTTTTGAGCCTCCATTTTCTCAATGTAAAAACAGAGCTAGACAGAATACTCTTTGCCCCTCGAGCACCTTAGTTACGTGATAGGTGAGATAAGGTGAGCAGACCCTGCTCTTATGTGAAGTAGTAACTGAGACATTTCTAAGGCTCAAATTATAACAAAGGAGCCACTTATGGCTTACTGGAGTGGTGGCGAACCTATGGCATATATGCCACAGCAGGCATGCTGGGCTCTGCTGGCATGCAAGCCAAGATGCCCCAGCATCGTCCAGCAGCCAAGCATCAGTTAACAGTACAGATAGGGGCAGTGTTGGCACTTTGTGATAAATAAATAGGTTTTTGAGTTGCAGTTTGGACACTCACTCTCTAAAAGTTTATCACTGGTTCTAGCAGAATCTTCTATTGTTATTGAATTTTAAAATCAACCTTGGTATTAACTTTTTAAAAAGTATTTTATTCCTGTTAAAAATTTTGTATTCAAATATTTTCTAGAAATTGGAGGAATATTCTTTTTTTTTTTTGTCTTTTTCATTTTTACTGGTACCAGGGATTGAACTCATGACTGCCTGCTTGCAAGGCAGGCGCTTATGCTGCTGAGCTAAATCCCCAGCCCCCGGTGGAGTATTTTTAGCAGTGGTCAAGGAAGTTAACACCTAAGGAAGAAAGCAGTAACTGTAAAGTGGTCGATGTGTCTGTACTTGGTCAGACTAGACACAAATTGCTTGCTGGGGTCCCTCTACTCTTTCTAGATAAAATTCCTGAGAACTGAATTGGACAACCTGAGCCTCATCCCAAGATTCTGAACACAGCCTGGCACACAGCAGGCCCTCAGCACATTTTTGTTAAGACAATATATCTAAAAAGGGCTATGCTCTTCCTAAACTCAGATATTCATTTCTTCTCAGAGATGCAAGCTCCTATTAAAAAAGAAAGAGATCAGTCTCTTACGAAGGCACCACATTGCTGGTGAGAAGAGTGTGAGCCCAAACGCAGTATCTAGAGCTTTGATGCCTAGTTCTTGAACAGAAGATGCCAATGCTGACCTTGTGTCCTTTTGTTCAACCATCTATCTGTCCATCCACCCATCTAGTCATGTAAATCCTGATGAAGTTGTGAGTTCACACAGAACACTGTATCCTTTCTCCAGAGAAGCACTGACACAAAACTGCCTAAATTAAGTGAACATTCCTATCTTAACTAATCTGGCAGAATAAGACAAGTTTATAAACCAATCTGCACATTGGTTGCCAATGTAACTGTTCAGCAAAAAAGTGAATAAAGTACTGACAGACAATCAGCCTTTCTTTGAGCTTTAGATTTTTTCTTTTCTGCTAAATCCATTGCACGTTAGGCTACTTAGAATGTAAGCATGCATGCTAAAGAGCTTGTACAAGGGCTTGGAAGGAAGACAGAGACAAAATGGAATATAACAAGTGGCACTCCCCCCTCCACCTTTAAGGAACCATGGCATCCAACAAGTGTTTGTTAAATGAACCACTACCATATGCTCACCATCATAAGGCATGTGGAGATGACAAAACATACTCTTGATCCGCTTTAAATCTGGTTAAGGAGTCCGGGGGTGTATGTATCCCAAGTGGTACAGCTTAGGGTCTGGCACTAGGCTAAACATGGGGTGTCAGGCATTGGAGAGAGCAATTGTGAATGATAAGGAAAAGTCTTCCAGAGGAGGGTGTGCTGACTGGGTGCAGAAGTCAGGAAGTGTAAGCAAGTGCCTCAGAGGCAGTCAGGGAAGAATGTGAGAGCACTGTTACCCATGTGAAGAATCCAGAACTGTCATTCTTTCAGTGTGGATACCACCACCACCAGCACTGGAGAGCTTGATAGAAACACAAATTCCCAGGCCCTGCCAAGACTTACTGAGTCAGCAACTATGGGTGTGGGGCCCAGCAACTTGTGTTGAATAGGTCTCCAGGTGATTATGAGAGATGCTCAAGTCTCAGAACCACTGAATCAGAGCAAACCTTGCTCACCCTCCAGCTGGTTGAGCAGTGACCCCAGACCTTTCCTCCCTCCTCCTTCCCCTCTGTAAACTTTTGTGCTGGCGGTTGGGTAGCTTCATGAAGACTGGATACCCTCTCCCAGGCTGCTCAGATGACACTCACAATGTTAAGAAGTTACATTTCCCACGGGCTTCTGTATAAAACACTCTAGTGCATCTTCCTCAGTGGCCCATAATCCTGAGTGACAATCAGCTGTTAGGAGAACTGGAAGCTCCAAAAAGCAAGGCAGAGATAGGAGGGAAATGAGACCTCTACAGCCCACAAATCTGGCCAGGATGACAGGTTTCTCTTGGCCTACAAAACTGCATCTGTCCCATAACCAGTTCTGAGAGTAACTCTAGAAGGCAAAGAAGTAATCAGAATTCCACTTCTCTTTCAAATCAGATCATTAAAAAGAGAAGAAGGAGTACTGTGGAAATTGCTAATGAGTTCACTGAAGAGTAATCGAATTTGACAGTACATAGTCTTGCCACTATTCTTACCAGCTCTAAAGTGATGTACAATATTTGCTGCTCCATAGCTTCTCTGTTTGCATAGCTCATATTCTTTTCAGAATCATTCAGGTGTAGAAAATCATTTTCTTCTGATGTGCTAGCTTCTGGTCCGACTACACCAGTGATGTGGCCCTTGCTCAAGTCATTGGGGCTGTCAAGTGGCCTCACTGCATGCATGTACAAAGCCTTGTACTATCAGTTATACAAGGGGGTGTGACACAGAGGGCCAACATCCTACTCACTTCTCCCAAGAGCCACTGTTTGCAGGTAGTGGTTGAACTGGATTTTTGTAGATACCTATAGAGTGACATAGGCAAAGCCATGCTACTCAAATGGGTTCATATGCTCCTGAGATGATCTTAGGTCTCTGCTAAGCTGTGCAGTAACCCCTACCCCATCCCCTGCCAGGCATGTGTGCATCAATACTGCTGCTTGAAATTCTGGCATCTCTCAACCATCTACATCATGACCTGCCCTCTGTATTTTGGCAGCAGAGGATATGTGTGTGTGTGTGTGTGTGTGTGTGTGTGTGTGTGTGTGTGTCCAGGGGGATAGTTTGTTGCCATTGTTACTGAAAGTAAATGAGCCTTATTACAACACAGATGAACACTGAAGACATCATGCTAGTGAAATAAGCTGTCATAAAAAGATAAATCCTGACACACCTTATATGAGGTGCATAGACTATTCATATTCAGGGACAGAAGGTACAAGGTGGCTGCCCGTGACATGAGGAAGTGGAGAATGGTAGTTGTTATTTAACAGGTATAGAATTACAGTTTTACAAGGTGAAAGAGAGTTTTGGAAATGGCTTCACAGCAATGTGAATGCATTTAATACCACTACACAGTGTATTTAAAATGGTTAAGGTGGGGAATTGTGTTATGTGTATTTTACTCAATTTTTTAAAAAGTTTAAGTAGATCAGCTCTTCTTGTCTTGCTATAATTCAACAGGCAACAGTAAAAATGACAACTGACAAGTATAGGTATGTGGTTATATATATGGGAAATATTTAGGCACATTTCAAGATATGATTTGTATACGTACAAATTCCCCATGGTGAATGTATCTATTCTGTACTACAAAAACATGCTAATAAAAAATTACGAATAGAGAACGTAAGGTGAGAGGAGCCACTTGCCAAGCTTCACACTCTTCTTGTGAGGTACGATGAGATTCAAGTCCAGAGGCCTGTCTGACTAGAACGCAAGAGCTCAGAAGCCCTACACAACTCTCAGCATGCAAACTCAGCTTATTAGAACAAAAATACAGTGTGCTGACAGGTACACATGACAATTCCGGGTCACTGACTTGCTCTGGTGTACTCCACCAACACTTATAATACACATATGCAACAGCAGGAAGTTCTGGCAATGAACTAATGAAGAGAATTTAATAGTTCCTTGCTCTGGAGTAGGTATCTCAGTGTGTATCTAGAATACGCACTATCCAGTTCTGGTTTCATATTACTAATAATGTATCCAGTCAGCCAGTGAAGAAATTTTTGTTTTGCTTGCTACATCTCAAACATGTACATGAATAAGGCACATCCCTAGGCCTTTGAGGATCTTAGAGCTTAGAGACATGTGCACTAGAAAAATCTTTGCTGAGCCAGCTCATGGTTTCCATAATAGGCTGAGTTCTAAAGGGACCCTGTGTGTGAGCATGATCTAGGTGCTGGGTATTCAATCCTCAATGCTAATCCTGAAACTTGCACTGCATCTCCAGCCTTGTGCCATTTCTGCCCTGGACAGAGTGGCTGGCATCTTTAGAGAGTCTTGATTTCCCCTTTTGCTCCTTCTTGAGGTCTGCAGCATTCATACCCCTTTCCTCCAGTTCATGCCGGCCCCCTTGGCAAGATTACACCAGTACCTGGTATGTGTCAGTGGGCCCACTGGTCGCTCCGGCCTTCTTGGGGGCAGTGCGCCGGGTCGGTTGAGAGAATTGGTCTTAGGTGGCCGAGGCTTTTTTGGTGGAATGGCAGGAACAGAGGGCTTCTGTAAATCCAGTTTTGGCTCTCTTTCTGGTCTTTCTTTAAGTTATTGTTTATCAAAGCATAGAGAAAACAGACAGATTAGTATAAGTGACAATACACACATGCAGATGGCTTATTTCCTGCTTTAGAGAAATTGTTAATGCCATTTCTAAAGGCAAAGGTGACAGCAAATAGCATCACTTATTCTTTCTCAAGTTCAAAAGGCCCCACAAAGCCGCAGCCCCCTATGCCTGTTTTTCCATGCTTTTGCTCATGTGGGCCCCTCTACTTGGAGTTCCCTTTCCACCTCTGTCCACCCTGAGCCAGCTCCTACTCACCCTTCAATGTCTGGCTAAAACAAGTCACCATCATGTTTCCATCTCAACAGTTGAACCCACCTTCAGTAGTAGATTTCTTCCTTCCTCACCTGAGGAAGTCCTTTACAAACAGGACTCGCTCAGACATTTTATGCATGTTTGCATGCTTGGCACAGCTATAGGTTGCTGGCCTCTGAGGGCAGGGCCCAAGTTCTGCTCATCTTCTTAGGACCTGGTATAATACTGGTGCAAGGCTGATGCTTAGTAGATAGCTCATAAGTTTGGATTTTTTTTTTTTTTACTGTTTTCTTTTTCGGTACTGGGAATCAAACTCAGGGCCTTGTGCTTGCAAGGCAAGCGCTGTGCCAGAGCTACATCCCCAGCCCTGATAAGTTTGATAAATGGCCCAAAAGACCTGCCTTTGGGTATGAGGAGGGAACAGGTATGACTCTTCTTGGGTTAGCCTCTGAAAAGTGTCATGAGTCAACAAAAGGGGTCAGCTTTCAGGAAACAATTCATTCTTGATTCTCTGGGCAGTTTGAACTTAGAAGACACAGGTAGGTGGTTTCCAAAGTTTTATGAAGTCAGTTATTAGGATGCAGTTGAAACCAGATTTGGTGGCCAAACTGGACAGTATTAAGTTACTATTTCAAGTTTTCTGTTCCCAACTAGCCTTGCCCCATAGTTGGTATGAACAGCATACACCTATAGAATTCTTAAAGATGAGCTTTAGAGAGTTGCACACCAGAGCACAGCTAGGCCGTTGTGTTGACTTGTGAGATGGTAGTGAGAACAATTTTTACTCATACATACAGGCTCACATTGCTTGGGTGCCCAGATCAATAGGCAAAATCTTCAGAATTTCACCAAATACTGTACAAGTATCATTATGCTCAACCTTGCAAAACATCTGTGGAGAAACAGGCTCCCACCAGGAATGCTGGGAACTCATTTTCTGGCACATGGGGGCTGGAAGACGAAGAGCTCAGGTGAAATGCTAAGCAGGAGAGGTATTTCCTGCTGAGCAACAGGACAAGGACAAGGATAGGACTTCCAGCAGCTTACAGGGTAAATGAGAGGGAGGGAGGAGTTGAATTGATAGTGACATCAATTCTGAAGGCAGGGCTGATTCCTGGGCTTCCCTATTCCTTTTGTTTGTTAGTTTGTTTTTGGTACCAGGGAACAACCCCGCACATGCCAGGCAGGCGCTGTGCTGCTGAACTATATCCCCAGTCTTCCCTATTGCTTTTGACCAGAGCTTCTGCTTCTCTGACCCATGGTGCCACAGAGCAAGCACTGATAGTGTTGAAATTGGGATCGAAGGGTTATCTACTCACTATTTAAAAAAAAAACTCATGGGAGGGGAAAACCAAGAGTATGTAGCTACTTGGCCAGTCAAGGAAGGTGATATTCATGAGTCATCCCATAAGTTGGTCACCATGGACCAGTGTAGAAAAGTGCCTTTGTCACACAGCGTGTTTAGGAAGAAGACATTAGTTATGTGTCCTCTGTGAGGACAGGGGATAGTGGTTGGTTATTTCAAAACACATGCTTTTACCAAACAGCTATAATCTCAGTGGCCATTTTTTCATTGATCTGTGACACAACCTTAGCCTTCACAATACGGTTCTACAACTGAAATTCTACAACTCAAATTCACAGTGAAAGAAAGAGGTATAGGTTCTTAATAGCTTGCAATGTTGGTACAACTTGCAGCAGGCTGGTATGAAATATGTAATTTCACAATAAAATTTCATGAGGCCACCAAAGAGCACCTCCAAATAATTATATTCATTAATCCAGCATTTCTCTTGTGATTTCAAAATAACTGCTTTTTAAAATGGAATTTGCTCAGCCTCCTGTTCATAATAACAACATGGCACTTTTCTCATAAAAATGTGTGATCAATCAAATCTTAGGTACCAAATAAAACAAGTCCTTACATAGCTTGAGGATTTCTTTGGGAGAGACCCTTAGAATGATGGGAAACAAACACATCTGTAAAACTGATTGTGTGAGATTCATCCACTTGTCTGCCAATGACATTCCTGAGTACCTTCATGAGACTCCTAGCACTGGGGTGTTTTTCTCAGTATTGTCATGCCCTGCTCCCCTAACCATCAATATTCTTGAGCAAAGACATCTATCTGCAACCTTGTTAACCCATAAAGGGCCTAGTACTGATCAAGGAAAAGCACTTTCATTTGTCTGGATGGGAATTTTACTAAGCCAAGTCCATCTATCAATAGTGATGGCTAAGTACACTGGGCACTAGGTACAGAGGAGAGGCTAAATGAAAGCTATTAGCTACATTCTGGGTCCTTAAGGAACTTAAGAGTCTACAATTTCACAGTACAGACAGAATGGCAGTGGCTGGGACATCACAGAAGAGCACCTATGTGTTAAATGACTGGTCTGCTTGTTTTTCATTTACTGAGAAACTCTGGCCCTATGCAGTACCCTCTCCTATTTCCTTAGAAATGGGATGCTTATAAGTAATCAAAACAAACCCATAATCATCATATTCTAAAGAAAATGCAAATTCTGTGGGTAATCTACACTAGCACTGTGTCAGATAGCTTTCACTCTTATTGCAGAACTGCCAATGAAGAATTGATTTCATACCTTTCTCTTCTGTTCTGTTTGGAAGTGTTTCTGGCCTTTCAGGAGGTATCTTTTTAAGTTCATGTTTTCTCTCTGTGGTACCTAAGAGGGAAAGTATAACAGTTATCAGAAAATGTTTTCATTTATTAGACATACCACGATTTAAATATTTATCAGGTATAGCAAAGGCAATACACTGTCTCCCTTGAGCTCAGTGCTGGTATTATCCAGCTAACATGAGTTGCTTAGAAACAAAGCAGAAGTCATTTCCAGCCTATGTCATTGTTTGCTTGCCTACACATCCTTAATTCATAAGAAAATCAGTGGTGTTTTCTAATATTTAAAACTGCTTCCTTAGGCATAAAAATAGTCAAAGGATATCACTGAGTGGGGATGGGAAATGTGTAAAAATAAAGGAAGTCATTCATCAAAATATACAAATAATGGGCTCCTGGATGTTATGCTCTATAAATAAGAGATTTCATATGGACCTGAATTTCATCTTGTAATAGTTTTAAAATATGGCCTAGAATTGTCCAGTACTCCTCCTATTAAAAGATGAGATCCATATCCCTTTGCCTGGAATTTGGGTAGGTTTGCCAGTGCTTCAATTTGTGGCCTAAGAAATAGCGTGTAATTTCCAAGGCCTTGTCATCAAAGGTCATGTAGTTCATTTCCTGGAATACTGAAATCTCCAAGTAATATATCAACCACTCTGTAGGTCACATGTGGACACTGTGGCCTACAGTCCCAGCTGAAACCAGTCTTCCAGGCACCCTGCCATAGGGAACCATCATGGAACTGAAGTAGTGACCTTCAAGGAGGGCTCCTCCAGCCTCAGCTGGTCCAGCTTTCCAGCTGAGGTCCCAGGCTTGTTGGAGTAGAAACAAGCCATTTTGTCCAAGTCCTGTTCACATTCTGACCTACAGAATCTGTGCACATAAGTGGACTGCTAATTTATGCTCCTAAATTGGAAGCCATTTATAATGTAGCAGAATACCTGAAATATAAAATTGAGGGATGTGCACACATGTTACAATGGTTCTCCCTAAGTCCTTTCTCTTTGCGTCTGAACTCAGGTATCACATTCTTCCAAATCACCACTTAGCCTTTATCTTTACCATGTGGACTGCAACTTCTTCCTCACCTGAGGTCTGATGGTATCACTGACCTCTGGCATGTAGAGAACTTTGGAAATAGCTAAGCACAAACCAATAAGAAACACTTCTCTTCATTCACAGACTTGTTTGATCGCCTGACAAACTCTTCATAAGATCCACCCCAAAATATGAGTGCTCTGCATTAAAATTGTCAATTACACAGCCAGGGGCTGGGGATTTAGCTCAGCAGCATAAGAGCCTGCCTGGCAAGCGCTTTGTGAGTTCAATCTGCAGTACCAAAAAAAAAAGATCAAACATCAATTATATAGCCTCAGAGTCCAAACAAACTTTTTAAAAAAATCCACTGAACATACATTTCATCTGAATCCTTTTAATGGCTCACTACAAATTAAATACTGTATCTGATTTATATCAATGCCATTTTTTTTCCTTTTTTTGGGTCAAGGAAAGTTGATTATGGGGAATATACAAGTATTTGCCTCCTTATCACAAAGCATTTCCCAAGATCCCTCAGCAAGATCAATGAGTAGTAGCAGTAGACTAAGAAGATAAAATGTCATCTTGCTTTGCAGCACAGAGACACATTACAAAAGGTAAGGTTATTTCTAAAAGATAGCAATTCGCCTACATGCTATAGGGTAGGTTTCTAATGAAATGAAGTTCTATTCCTGGACACACAGAAAGAATTAAAAATTCCACTATCTTTTTTTTTTTTTTTGTCTTTTTCCTTTTTATCGGTACCAGGGATCGAACTCACGACTGCCTGCTTGCAAGGCAGGTGCTTATGCCACTGAGCTAAATCCCCAGCCCCCAAAATTCCACTATCTTGAAGGATCCAATACTAGTTATTGTATGCTAGGTTGCCTGAGCTTTAGTATACTTGGTTCACCTCCTTGGTTTCTAGTTACCAAGGCCACTAGGGGAAAGAGGTTTCAGATAAAAAGACATAAATAGCCTGCTTTAATCTCAGCAAAATAAAATATTTATATGGCCAGGACCACTAGGTGGCAAAATGAAACAGCTCAACACCAACAGGGATGAGGCGGAGCAGACGTAATTAACATCCCATTTCAAGGCTTAATCTCTATAATTTTCAATTATGCCCAAGGGAATAGGAAAGAAATTTGGGGTCAGGTTGATTTCCTTCCCCCAACTTGGTGGGCCAAATATAACTTTAAAAAAATAATTCCTTAATAAATTTATGAGCACACCAATCTGAAAATGTATTCATACTTTAAATGTTATAGACATATAATTGTGTAGAACTAAAAATACCCCTACTCATCTGTGTTAGTAGTTACTTTTTAAAAATGCTACTTAGCGAGTTAATAGTGGAGGGCTTTCCCCCCACAATTAACCATAACAATTACAAAGAAGAGATGTATTGGGAAGTATGAATCATCATCTGTATGCATGAGAACCCAGTGTGCAATGAGTTACCAAACGTCAAATATCAGCTCCTGTATTTTTCAACTTTATTACCTGAACAGTACAGAAAAGGTGAATTGGATTCTTTTTAAGATTAAAAAAAGAATCAAGAAGGAAAAAGTATTTATGTGTTTTAATTGAGGGGAAGTGAAGTGAGTCGAAACTTTGGTCAACCACACTGGACAGACATTAAAAAGCCAGCAACTCCCCACATGCACAATGATGCTATGGCCCATGGGAACCAACCTTCCCTAAACCAACCCTTGATAGGACATAGGCAAAGCAAGACTTCTTCTTTAAAAGCAGTTTATTAAAAACAACCTCAAAAAATAAAACTGGCTTACCTTAAAAGTTCTTTTTGCTTACTGTCTTTGCAAGCCCTGAGTTTTGCACTATAATCAGGGACACATTTTAGTGACTTTTTTTTTGGTATTGGGGATCAAACTCACGACCTTGTGCTTGTCAGGCAGGCACCTGTGCCACTGAGCTAAATTCCCAGCCCTTTAAGTGATGCTTTTGTCTTTAGGAAAAATCAGCAGCCTGAAGGCATTCCTCATTTAACAGCTGAATTGTGTTCCTGTGGCTAGGTCCTTAAGTGAATTCGTCTCTAAATGAGGAATTGGATATAGTATGTCTATTACAATATTCAGAACAAAGAAATGTTCCAAGGCAACTCCAACTTGATGACTTTTGTTTTTATTTCTGTAACTCTTATATGTAGTACTGTACTATATAACAGAGCATAAAACTATACTACTGAACTATACAGTACAATCAGTAAAAATTACAGTGATGTTTAAACAAGATGTACTGTGCAAAAAAGAACACTGAGGCTCTAAAAACAAGATGTACAGAGTTGTACAAAAAGTAAGATGGGTCATTAAGCCTGAGTAGTGGGTGTAAGTCTGAACAACCATTAAACAGGTTGTTAAAAGAGGAATATCTGTATTTAAAATGTGCATGCTGATATCCAGTCATAACTTTCCAATTTGGTAATTTGTGGCATTTGAACTCAGGCATCTTGAGCTCTATGAAGGACAATTTGAACCTATGTAACAGAAAGACAGACAGTGTACTTTATTTGATGTAACCAAAAGATACATTACCTGCCCCTTGTTTGATGACAGGAGCGGATGGAGGTGGTGGTTTCTTGGGTCTCTGAAAAAGTAATCATAATTATACCACATGAGACTGCTGGCAAACTGACCTCTCACAGGACTGTAGACATTATTTTCTACGTACAGTTTGGACAATTTAGAGAACCTCTCCAAAAATATTGAGCAGTTTTCTCACTAGGGACGTCCATATTTCAGCACCTCTAAACAAACACGAAAATAAATTCAGTGGGCAAAACAAAACTCTGATCAACAAACGAAACACAATTTTCTTTTTTTCTAAATTTGTAACAGACTTCTGGAAAAGCCGGGCTCAGCAAAAATGGCCCAAAACTAGCAAGCACAATGGTACTCTGCTCCTACACTAAAACCGCATTTGCAATTAAGATTTAATCTGCTGAATAATCAAGCAACTGGGAGAGATTCGCTGCGAAGATTCACTGTGGATGTAGCAAGCTGAGGGTTTGCTGCACCCGGGTTAGGTTCTAAACCTGCTCTTTTCTACACCAGGGCTGCCAGGCCATTTGCAAGGTACCTGTGGTCAAGCTGTACCTACTTATACATGGTAAACTGGAATGGAGGTTTTTGCAAATCAATTGCTATTTGTTTTTCTCTCACACAGTCTTATTCTGTAGATGACAGAAGCATTCAACGGTATTCATCCTTTAAGTATTTCCAGAATCACCAGACATTTCTTTGTTATCCAGGATCTACTGTTGAAGGGAGATGCTGCCTGCTAGACTTGGCAAGTGACTCAGCATCCAGCCATTGCATCATCTTGGACAGTGTAATAAGAGCAAAAGGTCAGGCAAAGGTAAGGAGAGAACCATCTCAATGGCAGTATCATTAAGAAAAGACAGAAATGGGGATGTCGGGAGCATATGATCCACGTTGCTGCTGACACTTTTCAACCTCTCTGGACATCCATCCACCCATGATTTTAATAAAGTTCCACAGAGTTAGTTCTGCTCTCTGAAAATGTACTACTGTGACACAGGGACCAGTAAAGGCACATGTCTAACGTTAGCCCCAACTCACTGGTGTCTAATGCAGCACGCAGCCATAAGAAGAAAAGATTTTAAGTGAAATCCAGAGAATATGAAATCTACAGGGAACTTCCTTGGGAGCATCATAGCACGTAGGTTCTAGAATCAATAACTTTTAAGTTATTCACTACTTTTCACGGTTTGATGATTCTGCCAAGCTACTCTGAGTTAACAGTATAGCATGGTGAGACAGAGGTGTGGCTCTGAAATCTGACCATCACTGTAAGTCTCTTTCCCTCACATGGAACAAGCCCTAGACACAAGACAAGCCATTTCACCTAGCTATTGCTTCTCACCTACAAAAGGCAAGGACTCCTGGGGAGGAAGTGATTTCACGAACAGAAGGAGTAAGTTCTATTTTGTTTAATCCTTGTGACAACTCTATAAGTAGTGATAGTGACATGTTCATTCTGCCATTGAAATAATTGAGGCTTCGAGAGATAAAGTCATTTCCCAGGGTCATCAAGCTGTTAAATGAGGTAATGGGGCTGCTGAGAGTCAGGCCTATGGATGCTTGATCTTCAGGATGAAGGATTCATCTCACCAAAGAATATCCACAAGATAAACCATCACGTGGCCATACCACCACATACAAGGAGTTCATAAAAGCACAGGGAACTAATATGCTAAAGCTGGCAGAAGAAAATGGATATCAAATTGCAGCTACAGTATGAACTCAACTATGCTGCAACATTTACAGAGAGAAAGAAATAAATCTAAAGTGGTGATCTCTGATTAGTAGGGTTATGAGTATGTGTGTTTTCTTAACACGTTTCTGTACTGTCTGTATGAGTACAAATAAATAAGCTTTATTATATAAAAGCAAGCTGCTCTAAGGGCTTCCTCTCCTTGTACAGGCCTTGTACTGAGTGGATGTGTTTCTGGCTCAGGGTCTTCAACTATTCTATCCCCTTTGTCAGCTCCTGCCAGCTCTCTACCAGCTCCTTCCTTCTTTCTCTGTCTTTGTATAAATCAGACTGGGGACAGATGTGTGCTTACCTAATGAAGTCATCCCGGAACCTCTGCCAATTAACCTTCCTGTACCTCAGGATCAGAGTAATTTCTTATTCATGAAACTGCCAACACCCTGTGGCCTAATTCTTCCCAGTCAGAAAAGTCCCAACAATGCCTGCCCCTGGATGTCTCCCTCTCCCTTGCTAGCATGAAATAATTTGCTGTAACCAATATCACATGAGCCTTCTATAACATAGACCATTAGCCCAGTGAACTCGCCTTAAACCACATGGTCCTAAATGTAAAAACAGTAACAAAAAAGACAAGTACAAGTCATCATATTTTCCAATATTACTCAGGAAAAAGCCCTTAGTGTTATGTTAGACTTGGCACGTAGCAGACACATGAATATGACAGGGTTGTACAGGGGTGGGGAAGGCAGAGAGAGAGGGCATAAAGGGGTGGAGGGGAAAGAGGACAGGAAATGTTACACAAACAGTGTGTGAAAAGTATGCTTATCGCAGGCACGTGTATGAATGCAGCGAAGGGAGGAGGCAGAGGCGTGCACTTGTGTTCAGAGCCGTGGCCATTGTGGAGGTAAGTGGGGAGCTACTGAAAGGAAGGGGCAGTTCGTGAGCTATCCTGCCTTGCATCTGCCATGTGGGATTATCACTCTGCCCGGGTGCCTCCTTTGCTTTTTAGCAGAGAGGTCTACAGATGTTCCTCCACCTTCTTCTTCCCTTGACTGATTTCACTTTCTCTGGTTCCATCAAATTTGACAGCCATCATGCAGCTTCATATGAGAAAATGCAACACCAAATTAAGATGTCATTTAAGGTAATTCTAAATAAAAATCAGGCCCAGCAGTCCACGCAGCACTAGACAACCCTAAGAGATTAATAAAGTATTGCACACGGACCTGCTTTTTTTTAAAAGTACAACTAGAAGACAGGGTCATGAAAACTGAGAAGGCATGCAGTCATGAGTTCGATCCCTGGTACCGATAAAAATGAAAAAGACAAAAAAAATTTAAAAAAAAAACAAAAACCGAGAAGGCAGATGGAATAAACCTCTAATGAATTGTGACAAAAAATTCTCAGGTACAAAGTCCCTATGATGGAAGTGATCATTTTGTATATTTAACATGTACCAAGTAATTAAAATTAAAAACCACATCACAGGAGTTCATGATTCTCAAAGAAAAAGACATGAGCAGATCATGGTGCTGATTTTCCTCAAAATATCCAACTGTGGCTAGGTCAAGGAGATGGAACTACTTCCAGGTAAGTAGTAGGTCAAGGTATCCTCTGTAGAGTTTGACAGTCATGTAATATTAACTAGCTGCTATAGATACACAGAAAGAAACATCCTTTCAACTCAGGTAAGATGCTAAAGATCTAAATGTTTGGAGGCATTTGCTCTATACATTTTATCTCTCTTTCCATTGTGAAGGCAAAACACTCAGCTCCAAACTCAGGTGTTTCTGCCTGCTCAGTTTTCAGTAAGTGCTTTTTAAAAAAAAAGCAGTAGATGTTAGAAACACAAGTGATCAAGAAGTCCTCTTTATAGCTGAGAAAACTGAGGCTCAGAGGGGCTGTGACAACAGCTAGTTGGTAGCTAGAGGGAACCTAAGACTCATGCTTCAAAATGTTCAGAGTGTGGAGATTCATTTAAAAAGAGCTATCACCAAAATATCAATAACAAAACCAATAAGCCGACATGTTCTGATTTCTGGGAAATTCTGGGTAATCATGTATACAGACACATAGGCCTAAGTGATGTGGGTCTATATGTACCTGTGTATGAAGCGGTCAGCCTGGATAGAGATGTTGTATCATTCTGCAAAGGACAGATAAACTTGATTTCATTTGTACTGCTATACCACCAGGAAGGAAATAGATCTGAATGCTCCAGTGCGAGGATGGCAGGAAGGCAAACTTTGCTTCCTGGTAAAGGATTTCAAAACTGACTTTGCTCTGTGTTTGGCAAGATTGGATAGTCCTAAGTTAAAAAAAAAAAAAAAAAAAAAAAAACCTCATCCACTGGCTTTTAAACTGCTCTCACTAGCAAGAATTCTGATCCACCACTTGACCTTTTGAGCCAGTTTGCCTTTAGAGTTCTGTGCCCCAAAGGAGTATACCCTGGTGGCTGGGTATACTTTGAGTTGTTTAGTTTATTTTTCTATTAGAGTAACTGAGGACTGAGTATATTACAAAGAAAAGAGGTTTATTTTGGCTCATGGTTCTGGAAATCTGGGTGCACAAGTGCCAGCATCTGTGCTTCTGGTGAGGGCTTCAGGCTTTTTCAACTCATAGCAGAAATCAGAGAAGGATGCAAGCACAGGAAGAAGAAGCACGTATGCAAGAGACACCAAAGAAAGGTACCAGGCTTGTTTTACAACCTGCCCTTGTGAGAATTAATTTAGTACCAAGAGAACTAATCTGGTCTCTCCAGAAATGCATTAATTCATTCTTGACGGTGGTGTACCATGACCTAACTATCTCTTAAATGTCCTACCCTCTCTCAACACTGCTATTGAGGATCAAGTCCCTAAACGGGTTTGAATGGGGACAAACCATATTCAAGCTGTGTGCATGTAAGGGGCCTTTGTGGGGAGTATAGTTAAAAGTTCCAGAAGCAAATCTCAGCTTGATTTTGGGCAACCCTGGATCTTGGGAACCCCCTCCATGTCCAGCTAAAGCCTCTGTTGGCTGGAGAGGATACACAGATGAATAGTTCCTGACCAGAATGTCCCTTATAACTGCTCCACTGCTTGTTCTGGAGTTCCAGCAACACCTGCCTTGGCACTGGCAGAGAAGATCCCCAGGAAGCACTGTATACCCTTGCTCTCGGGAAGGTTGCTCTCTAATTTTTCCTCAACCTCAATCTCTAACCTAGTGTTCTACATCCACAGTCTCCGTTCTATGTGGTCCCATCCAAACTGAAGGCCTGCTGGGTGGTCAGCCAGCCTTTGACATTTAGCTTCTCTCAAAATTGCTCGTTCAGTTCACCTCCTTGACTCACTCCTTCATGCTACTATGGA